ATGTGAGAGTCGTGTGTGAGTTACACACGAATGTTGAGAGTCGTGTGTGAGTTACACACGTATTTAGGTTATCAGATAAAAATTAATCTGTGGCTATGTATCAAACGAGGCAACTCCTCTCCTATTTATAGGAGAGGTAATGTGAGAGTCGTGTGTGAGTTACACACGACTCTCCATTTAGGTAATGCTTGGTTGCCAACCTTCTGCTAACTTTTTGACATTTTCAAATAACACGTTTTTCTCTCTTTATTATTATTTTTTTCTTTTCAAACTGTGTGAGTCCCAGTTGAGTGGGCACACCACCACTAACAGAGGTAACAACTAACAAGTGGTCCATGGAATCTTTTCGGTTAGTTCCTTTATACTTTCCATTAAAAAGAATTTAAATCCAATCTTTGTTATGGATTTCTAAGTCATATATATAAAGAGTATAGTTGGTTCTAGGTGGGTCTAAAATCTTTGTTATTTTATTAAGTATTCCATGATCTTATTAGTTAATTAATACAAAGTGTTTTAATTAATTATGAAACATGTACAAATCTTTGGAATTTTAATTTGTTTTCTTTTGCCTTGGAATGTGTTTAAAGTGATCAAATCATTTTACTCCATGTATGCAGTTTGTATGTTAATATACTAAAAGCTGCAAATCAAAATCTCTGGCCATAATGCATGAATCATTCAAAGTTATCTGCAGTAGCCCGTATGTTGTACATGAAGTCTGAACATCATTTCTCAGGAAGGTGTTTTAATGACTTTATGGAGTTTGTAAAGGAGCTTTCGCCAGAAGATAATATACTGCTACAAAATTTTTACAGAACTAAAGAGTTGATTGAGGGTTTAGGCCTTCCTCTTGAGAAGATTGATTGTTGCAGAATAATTGTATGATATATTGGGGTGATGACAGTGAGTTGTGAGCATGTAAGTTTTGCCTTTAACCAAGATATAAATGAATGGGTACCAATACTACTAGCTGACTTGTTGAACAATCCTATAAAAAGATGTATTATTTTCCTCTCACTCCTAGGCTACAATGACTGCACGCATCAGAGGCAACGACAAAGCATATAAGATGGCATGTTGCGCATGATTCTGATGATTGCATTATAAGGCATCCCTTAGATGCTGAAGCATGGAAACACTTCAACGTCCAAGACCCATCATTTGGTTCTGAGAGTCAAAGTGTTATGCTTGGGTTATGCACTGATGGATTTCAACCGTTTGGTCAATCCGGTCAACAATATTCATCATGGCCCATTATAGTGACACCATATAATCTTCCTCGTTGGGATATGCATGAAGGCAGATTATATGTTCCTTACAATTATAGTTCTTGGACCGAAAAATCCTAAGTTTACAATAGATGTTTTCTTACAACCACCAGTTGCAGAATTAAAACAGTTAGGGGAGATGGGTGTGGAAACGTATGATGTTTCAAGAAAGTAAAATTTTATCATGTGATCGGCTTTACTTTGGATAATAAGTGATTTTTCGGCTCTTGCTATGCTATCGGGGTAGAGTAAAGCTAGAAGGCTGGCTTGTCCTTACTGTATGGAGTACACGAATGCTTTCACTCTCCCTAAAGGTGGCAAACAAACATGGTTTGGTAATCAGTAAAAATTGTTGCCTCCAAATCATTCATGGAGGAGTAATAAATACTAGTTCATAAAGAATAGGGCAGTCGTAGAAATGGCATTATCAGTGAAGTCTGGTGAAGAGATTCTTCAAAAAATAGAGGCATTGGGGCTTATGAAGGTCATAAAGCTTGGTTCTGAGGTAGGCAATGCTGTAATTAGTAAGAAGTGTGGCTGGAGAAAACGAAGTATCTTCTGGGACTTACACTATTGGAGTACCCTTTTAATTCGACACAACCCTGATGTGATGCATATTGAGAAGAAATTTTTTGAGAATTTGTTCAATACAATTATGAATATAGAGAGGAAAAAAAGGATAATGTAAAGGCTAGAGAAGATATGAGAGATATATGTTGCAACCCGAGTTCGAAATGAACCCACAAACGGGAAAGTATCCAAAAGCTTATTATACATTAGATAAACCTGGAAAATAAGTTTTGTATGAATGGGTGAAAATAATTACATTCCCAAATGGATATATGTCAGACATGGCGCGATGTGTTGACATGAACAAGCATAAGTTATTTGGGATGAAAAGTCATGACTGTCATATTTTCATGCAAAGGTTGTTACCCATCGCTTTTCATGAGTTGTTGCCTGCCAAAGTCTGGGAAGCATTAATAGAAGTTAGTAATTTTTTTAAAGAACTAACATGTACTGTCTTGTGAGAGGAAGATATGATACGTCTTCATGGGGAAATTCCAATCATTCTATATAAGCTTGAGCGTATATTTCCTCCTGGCTTCTTCGACTCAATGGAACATCTACCAATTCATCTTGCTTGTGAAGCTCAAGTAGCAAGCCCTGTGCAATGCTGTTGGATGTATCAATTTGAAAGGTAAAATATTAGGCATTTGTATTATTTAAATGTTAGGGCAAGTTCAAAAAAAGCCATTGTCATTCATTGATCTAGAATGTCATAGGTACAACGGATATATAAAAAAGAATGTGCGGAACAAAGCAAAAGTGGAAGGGTCAATTACTAATGCATATCTAGTTGTAGAAGCATCATCCTTTTATGCGTATTACTTTAAGACACGTGTAGACACTAGGCATTGAAGAGTACCACGTAATGATGATGGTGGACCAATGGAGGAGGAAGAGCTGGAAGGAAATATATCTATATTCACCCATCCTGGTCAGCTAATAGGTCAATAGAAAAAAAGAAGATTGACAGATCAAGAAAGATATGCTACTCAGTTATATATCTTGTTAAACTATAGAGAAATTTCCCTATTCATTGACTGATTCCATAATTACCACAATTGTCATCTTGTATTTCTTCGTTTAATTAGAATGTGATTGCCATTACACTTAAGATTTATTTTTCTTTTAAAGCTTCTATTTAGCAGAGCTAAGGAAAGTAATGCCTCGTATTACTGAGAATGAGGTAGATACCAAACTGGAGGAAGACTTTCCTAATTGGTTCAACTTATATGTGAGTGGTACCTAAAGACTTTTATGTTCATATATGATACAAAGTACTATCGCTAAAATCCACTTCCTACATGTTAGGTTCATAATCCGAAAAACTCAGTATCTAATTAATTCATCAAAGACCTCGCAAAAGGCCCTCTATATACAGTGCAAGTGTATACAGGCTACTTTGTCAATGGGTAAAAATTCCACACAGAGGCTCGTGGGTCTAACAAAATGACTATGAATAGTGGCGTATGCATAAAGGGTACAAACTATCGTGAGAAGTCAAATGATTACTGTGGTAGGTTGCTAGAAGTTCTAGAATTGGAGTATCCAGCATTACCTATCAAGAGAACAATATTGTTCCACTATGAATGGTTTGATGCAACACCAAATGTGGGAATCATGCAAGGTATAACCTGGTGCATATAAATCAAAGAAGAAGATTTAACAAGTATGAACCATTTGTACTAGCAATGCAAGCTGCACAAGTATACTTCATTCCTTATCCATCATTAAGAAGAGAAAAGAGCGATTGGCTATCAGTAACTAAATTGAAAGCTAGACCAGTGGTGGAACTAACTCAATCTTCTATAGCTCCTAATGAAGTGCATGACACCGCATTTCAAGAAGATGATATGGATGCCCAACCATTATAGGTTAATGAACATGAATTGCCTAGAGTATTGAATGATCCTGATGGTTCTTATATAGATATCAATGTAGCGGATGAAGCAGAAGAAGAAGATCCACATATCTATTTAACATCAGACGATGAAGACTCTAAAGATGATGAATTAGATGAACCTGAGAATGAATGAACTTTGTCAAATTTCCATTAATATTGTATTATTTTCATTATTAGAACAATGTAACATGGACATATTAATTCCCAGTTGTTTTAGTTATTTATATAAATCATTTTCATTATTTTACATATACGTAACCAAATGATAAATATAATATAAATGCAGTTTATAGAAATATAGGTAGAGGCAACGGTCGAGATAGTAATACTCATGTTCGAGGTTCATCCTCTTTTGCGGGTAGAGGACTTAATAATTCAGGCTGCAGCACATGCTCTATAGGCCGTGGTTCACAAATTCCAACTAGTGGGGCTCAACAACCTCAAACACATCATACCTCAATTCAACTTGAGGCATCGGGTCCTCTACTATAGTCGCACGCTGAGCCATATAGTTCAGCTCCACGACCCCCAGCCCTATGTGTACCCTTTGAGGCACTTCCTAGACCTTCATCGAAAGTGTCGACACGACCATCTTCTTCTCAAGGAACAATTGTTATAATGAATACCACTTTTGCATCTCCATATAGTAAAAAGACCATTCGATTAGTGGGTGACGTGTAAGTACTCATGACCTTCGGCAATAACATTTTATCTATTATATTACTTGGTTAATTACTTCATTTTGCATATATATATATTTGTGTGTGTGTGTGTGTAATACTCTACTTGTATGAATATATGGCCTTATGCAACAGGATGGAGCCGTCTTATGATACATCACAACTTATCACTAGCATTTTCCATGAGAACCTTGATAAGGATGGCTCTAGTTGGAAGAATATGAGTTTAACTACAAAGCAGTTCTATTGGATTGAGTTTTAGGTTAGTTACTATTTTAGCATATATATAATTGAAGAATAATAGAATAATCAAAGTAATAATAGATAGTAGTATTAAAATATTAATGTTCATATTTTGAAATAATTTATGTATTATATGATGATATTACCTTAATGAGAATATTTTGAAATACGCTGTGAATTTTGAACTTCTAATAAGGGAGTTAAGTCTAACTTTTAGAGGAAATTCTACTGAAATTTTATTTAATAATATACAAAACTATTTGTTTTTATTCATTTTGATTAAAACTTTATTATGTTGTTATGTTGTATATATAGAAACACTTCCAATGGGATGAAGCGATGAATGAGCTTATAAAGATTGCATGGAAGAGAAAGGCAGGTGAGACGCATAGGGATATGCTTCATAAGCTTAAACTCATGGAAAAAGCCCTTATGTCCAAGATGATGTTTGGAAGAAGTGGAATGAGGATTGGAAAGCACCAGATTATGTTGCAATGTCAAGACAATTCTCAAAGAATCGGTGTACTGAGAAGGGTGGTAAGGGATCTGGTCTATCTCGTCATACCGGAGGCTTTATCTCCCACGCCAAATATGCGAGACGTATGGTATGTTCTCAACTTCAATTTATTAATCAATTTTAGTGTTTACCAACTGCTATTAATTTAGACATTATTTTGAACTTAATAGGCTGTAAAGACTGGATCAATTCCTCTGCCATGTGATGTGTTTCCTCATACCATTACAAAAAAAGATGATAGGAAGACCTTTATTGACAAGCGCGCTGAGAATGTTTTTGTAACTTTTCTTTCATTTTTTAGACATTAATATTCACAATAGTTATTAAGATTTTCATTTATTCTAAATTAACATATATATGGTTGTTGTGCTTTTTTTTTTTTTTTCTCCCTTGCTTTGCAGGAGACAATGCAACACCTCAAAGAACCACGATCCACACAGCAACTTGAAGGTGGAGAAACTCCTATTGATGAGTACCAGTTCTATTTGAAGGCTTCAGGAGGAAAACATAAACGTAGAGTCTACGACATTGGCTCCCAGGCTTCCCTCTTTTGCCTGCATTATGGTATAAGTGGCAGCTTATTTAGTGCCTCATCGACTTCGTCGGATGCCATGGAGTTTATTCATTCATTGAATGAATGAAAAAATGCATTTGACAGATTGCTTCAGCAATAAACAAATATGATTGCCCAAATTCATAGGCATTTGGAAATCAGAGTGAGCCAGCCACCAACATCCTCAGATTCTCCTACTTCTAGCTCCAATGTTGATCCTACGACAAATGAAGACAGAAATGATGTTCAAGGCTTGGATGGTTAGAGGGATATCTCTCGATGAACTTTTTTTTGTTGAATATCTATGATTAAAATGTTTACATATTTGAACTTAGTTATAAATATGTCTAGTATTAAAAAAGTGTGCTAAATATGTTTGAATTATGGAGTATATATATATATATATATATATAATGTTCAAGGCTTGGAAGTGGTTTAGAGGGATATCTCTCGATGAACTTTTTTTTGTTGAATATCTATGATTAAAATGTTTTACATATTTTTTGAAACTTAAGTTTTATAGAATATGTCTAGTATTAAAAACGTGTGCTAAATATGTTTGAATTCTGGAGTATATAATATATATTATATATATAAAATAGTTTTCTTTCCATATTTTGCCTTTATAATTTATATTTTATATATATAGTTTCTTTTCCATATTTGCTTTATAATTTATATTTTTAACAGGTTTGCTGAGTCCAAAATAAAATAAAATAAAATATCTAGTAAAATATGAACTGGTGTGGTTCTTCAGCAAGTCACTGGATGAACTACTTGATGTTCAAATAATTACAAATGTACATAAGTTATGATTTTGTCTATATCTATCTATATTCAATTAAGTAGTAGAATACATAAGTTCTATCTCTTTTCACAAAAAAATTTACTGTATTTGAAGCTTTGTGGAAGATTAATTTGCTCATAAAGTTATTAATTTTGATAATATTATATGGTTTTTTACACTAGCAACAACAATTTTTAGAGTTTTTATATGCGAAATATTCATTAGTGTGTAGTTAATATAACTTTTGAAAATATAATTTTCTCCAATAAATATCTAATCAATTTTATTTTATAAATTACAGTCTTTAATATAAACATTTTATAAGTTGAAATATTTATTTTATAATTAAATTTCAAAATCAATTTATTGTCAAGTGTTTTTAATTTTTTGGATGAGCTAAGAGTACCATATGAAAAAGGAATTGTTTTGGTAGTTAATAGAGTGTTAACCGTTCACTCACGCTGCTTTTTTCTTTATACCATACGGTCCATCAAAGAATGCATAAAAGGGCTTCGTGTGATGCACGCCCAAATTTGGTGGTGCAATGGGAGAAAATTTCAAATCGGTAAGAATGCTAAAGTTGGCTAAAATATTTGTTTAGCCCTTAGGCAAGAGTAAGGCTCTAACACGTGGCTCAATCCATTTCCGCAAAAAATAGAGGTAACTGAGTAACCACATCATAACGGGAGGGATTGCTGATACGGCTTAACCACTCGCATTTGACTAAAAATCTCTCAAAGTTTTTAGTTCCTTAATTATTTATATTAATGTCACTATTTTTATTTTCTGAACGCTCCAAATTTAATATTAGTAAGTCTAGTTTACATTAAAAATTCATTTAATTACGTTACCTTATATTCTATTACGTAGTATTGGAAATTTCTTAATATTAATTAGAAATTAAGATGTCCTTTCTTATATATGATTTAACCATTCACTTATTACAACTGAAATATTAATTAGATATCATCTACTACTACCATAATAACTACATTAATATATACAAAAAGAAACTGAAAAATAAAACAAACTGTCAATTTCCCATTACTAAAATCTCTTCTTGAATGTTTGGTTTTCCTCGAATGTGTGGTAGCACGTGCATATATATCTAACAAACAAACTAAAGCTTGGGTGAAAGGTTGGTGAAATAGAACTAAATATATACAGCTATTTTATGTTGTCAACTCAATTAAATGTGCATAAAACAAACAAGAAATATGGTATTATGCGTTCAAATTCTTTTATATATATATATATATATATTAATATAATATATATATCATTCACTAATAAATATATATATATATATATATATATCATTCACTAATAATAATATCAAGAATTACAAATACTCATATTGACCGAATGTAGAACTTTACTTTTAATTAGTAGCTAACATAATTTGTTGATCTTTTAATGAAAAGAAAGAATTCATATTTTTTTGAATAATGAAACTAAAAGTAAAAAAATATGATATTAATCTTTTTGCTTGTAGTTGATTTTTATAAAAGGTGTACATATTTATAATAACAACTAATCTGTTAATTGATTTGAAAGATAAATAATAAAATCTCTAGATTTTTTATACCTGGGTTGTTTTTCCATGAATTTACAATATATGATGAACACAAATAAATAATTAAGAGCTTAATAAATCAAAATATTTGGTTTCAATTGTTTCATTCATCACATTTTATAAATTTCCAATACAAAAAACCATATAATAGTACAACATACTCATATACATAAAAGCTTTCCTAAAAAAAATATATAAACAACTTTCCTAAAAAATATATCAAGCAAATCTACACAATCTAACTAATAGATTTTATTTAATTTCTATACGTAGCATAAATGGTATAGAAGGTTTGTGTAACAGTTAAAACCAGAAGAATGAGAGCAGCTAGAGCAGATATAAAAGACCATGGAGTATCAAAATACGTATACTTGAATCCTGCCCATTGGACATGCCAACTATTCATGTAATATAAGTGAACATCATTAAACAACTTAGCCAAATAGCACAAATCAATATCAAATGCAACTTCCTTGCCAAGATTATTGATGAATCTTGCAACTTCTGCGTCAGTACCAAAGTAATTCTCAATAATATTGTGATCACATAAATACCCAACATCTTTGTTTGTATTTACTAAGCAATCCAAGAAAGTTGCATATGTTGTGAAGTGTTTGGAGCTTCCATTGTGGCATTGCTCATACGCTACACAGTTAAACAAAAAAGAACTCATAGCATCGTCAATAGTTATTGTAGGCATTTCTATAACTCCATGGTTAAACTTCACCACCAAGAAGCTATCTGCCTTTCCTGGAGTAAGTAGAATTCCTGCACGACGAAGCTTTGATACACATTGAATGATATGGGTTCGTGTTTGGTTATTGTTTTCTACTTGACTTCGTTCGAAATCTATATAACTTGATCGAACTAAATCAAGAATGTGTCTTCCTTTGAGATTAGCATGCCTAGTGATTGATCCATCTGGCCTTTGTAAGAAATAATTAAAGAAATTTAACGCAAGAGTGGATAAAGAGACGCAAGATTGTTCTTCTTCAGGCATTCTTGATAATTCAAATAATTTTTCAAGAATAAAAAAGGGCATTTGATTTTCAAGTCTTAATAAATCCCTGTAAAAAAAAGCAATGATCCATTGCATTGTGAAAATAGGGTCATCATCGTCAACTTCTATCACGTCACCAACTTTTCTGAAAAGTTCAATAATGAAACAACCATCAAGAACCATCATTTCTAAAAATTCATCTTTCTCAATTTGTATAGTTTCTGAATAACATTCTCTTGCTGCAATTTCTAGTGGTTCTACCGCTTTTAATAAGTCTTCTAAGTAAAGGCCTTTAAGTTGGATTCTAGAAAGCAAACAACCTAAGTATCTCCACTTATGCTCTTCAATCATTCTAAGGTGAGGCTCTCCGTGATGGTAAGGACCTATTGAGACAATATGAGGTTGATAAGACTTACCATTTATGTCTACGAAGCTTTGAGGCACCTTAAAAATGCAACAAGAAGACTTAGCAGCAGATTTGGCTAGTAATTTTGGTGGGTTTGAGAGTTTTTGGTGCATTAGTTTGAGATGATCTCTGTTTGCCTCCCAAATTTGTATTGTATGACAGCCTCCTTCTTCTTTGCTACCCATTGGAGTCAACAATTACAGGTGAAGCAGATATCTGAAGCTGTCTTGTGGATGAAATTTTCTATAACTTTTCAAGAGCTATATAGCAACTATTAGGGTTCCAGATAAGATATGTATGGACGTTCTAGAGCCATTAATAAAGAAATTAATTGTTGTAGGGTGAGGGTGACCCACTTCATCAAGTAATTAATAGTTTGTAATTGTTATATACTAACTTTAGGGGGTTTATTACAAAAACATTAATAATGAATTGACGGGTTTCTTCATATATTTATGTAACTATATAAAGATAATACATCATTCCTACTTCAAATACAATCTTGCCTAATAAGTTTGTGAATATTTTTCTTTTATTTATTGGAGGTTAAATGTATGAACTTAATATTTTGACTATACATGACTTCGGTTCTCTTTTTTTAATAATACTCACTACATTAATAAAAAAAATTCTAAATAGAAATAACTTGAATTTAATTAAAATCTTTCATTTTTTAAAATTTATAAAGAGACTAAAAGACCAATCATGATTTTAAACAAAGTATTTTGTAATTTATATGCATCATGTAATTTATATCGTGGATAATATTATTAATTGTTTAGAAATTGAGGATTATTTCTTTTGCTATAATTAATTGGATATATATATATTAGAAGAGGAATAATTATGTTTGGATAAGGATAATGAAAATCTTATATTAACTGTTAGTTAGAGATTGTTTAGGAATCCAATACCTTTCAATATATGCATATATTTATAAATTATGTTTTTATTTTATTATTATGTATTATTAGTAGTCCTCCTAATTGTTTGGTCATTTATGTCCAAAAGAGAATATTGTACGTATGATTTTATATGTTACATACTTCAAGAGTTACTTCATTGAATCTAAGTGACTCTTCAGTATCTCGCCTCTCTATATATAGCTATCTCTTTGTCTCATTTCCTTTACTCATGCATTTTCAATCTTCAGAGCGTCTCTCTCTAGAAGTGCATTTCCTCTCTAGTTTTCTTTACTTTAGTAAGTCTTGTAATCTTTGTTTTATTTCTTGTTTGTTTTTGGCGAGATCATGAGTTCGTCTAGTGATGAAGATGTTTAGGTTTTGGTTGATCCATCTGAGGACGAGAGTATTGAAGCTGTTGAGTCCAGAGCTGATGGGGTGAAAGGTCAGAAAGAAAATATTAAGATTGCTGATGTCCCTTCAAACATCGACGAGGGCAAGCTCTTGGATGTACGTTCCATGTACAATGTTGCCCCTGAATACAAATTGATTCGCCCTCGGAGTATATCAGAGTAAACGAGCCTTTGGATAGTGATTCTATGATGTTATATGCGGAGTCTTTTTGATCTGGGGTTCAGTTACCTTTATCCAAACCTTTAAAATCTTTCTTTAATGATTATGAGATTGCCATCAACCAGCTCCATCCTAATGGGTTGAGGTTTTTGCGTGGGATAATAGAACTGGATCGCCGCAATGGGACTACCCTTACTGTTCGAGGGATGTAGGAACTCTATAATCTATAAAATCAAGTTAAGGAAGACCATTGCTTTCTTCAAGTGAAGAACAATGACAATGTCTTTTCCAAGCAATCAAAGATTTCCTCTTTAAAGAATTATAAACAAAAGCATTTCATTGTACGACATCCTAGAGGGTTCAGAGTAGGGTTAGCCATCTCCCAATTTTCGAAATCAAAACCATCGATTCGGAACCCGTGGGAACGAAAACGGAACTGGTACGAACTAGAACTGGTGGTCTACGATCCAGTTCTGGTTCCATCATTTAAGGAACCATGAACTGGCGGTTCCAAGAACTGGCTGGAATCATCCAGAACCGGCGATTTTTCCATCGAATTAGCGGTTCCAAACAAACTTTGAATTTTATTTCAAACGGCTAGAACCGGCGGTTCCACCCAGTTCCATCGGCTTTTTGTTTTTACTTTTCCAAATTATCTTGTGAAATCCCCAAATTATTCCTCCTAACAACTATAAATTGCTATATAATGGCTAGTTTTAAGGCTGTTTGTGGAAATTTGATTTTTTGGATTTATTATAAATACCCCTTTCCATTTACAATCACCTCACACAAAATTATCTCCATTCTCTCTACTCTATATTATTCTCTACTCTACAATCTCTCCAATTTTCATTATAAATTATTGTCCAAAATATTGCAAAAATAACTTCTCCAAAGTCCAATTTCCAATTATTTGTCCAAATTATTGTCAATTAATTTCTCCAAATCTCAATCTCTAGTTATTCTCTCTAATTTTTTTTATTCAACTTTTCAAGTTACATATTATTATCCTATAATGGCGAGTAAAGGAAACCCAAGTTCCGTTAAGAGTAAAGGAAAGGATGGAGAAACACAAAATTCATCTATGCCTGTGAACAACATATTCGATTTCACTCCCGACCAATTCGATCTTGAGGGATATCCAAATGAACATTTAGAAATTATAACTCAAGAATCCGAATTTAATGAAGACAACTTGCAATAAGAGGTAGAGCAAGGCACACAAGTTGTTCGACGAGCAATATAAAATTCTGACATATTCGTTATTCATTTCACGAAGAAAATTAAAAGCAACAAAATGTTCGATATAAGTTGCAATTATTGAGGAATATCGTATAAAAAGAAGAATTAGCTAAAATGATTTCTGTGGAACATTTATGTTTTAGTTTTGGTGAGAAAGTGAGTTTAATTGATATTGTCAAAAAGTTTTGAATCCTTCTGCTAAAAGAGGGCCAAGAAATACGGTAGGACGGGCTATTATTTATTTATATAAAAAAAACAAAAAAAGAGTTAGAACTTTTATTTTCTGAAATAAAAATTCGTGTTTCAATTTGTTGTGATATTTGGAGTGATCATTGGCAATTGCATTCTTATTTGGGTATTACATGTCAAAAAGCTTTAAATCATTATGCTAAAAGAGTGTCAAGAAATACTGTAAAAAAGACTATTATTTATTTATATAAAAAAGGAAAAAAAAGAGTTAGAATTTTTATTTCAATTTGTTGTGATAATTGACAAATGCATTCTTATATAGTTATTACATGTTATTGGATTGATGATGATTGATATAGTTATAAATGTTGTCATTGGATTGATGATGATTGAAAAATTAAAAAAAAAAAATATTGCATTTCGTGTTTTTGATGATAACATACTACAAATAATATTTATAGAATAGCTGTTTCAATTTTAGATGAATATAAATTGACCAAAAACATTTTTTCAATTTCATTTGATAATGCCTCTACCAACACTAAATTAATATTGCCTAAATCAATTTGTGAACCAAATATTGGTGGAAAATTTTTTCATATTAGATGTGCATGTCATGTTTTAAATTTATGTGTACAAGATGTTGCAAAAGTTCTTGAATGTTTTATTTCTCCAATTAGAAAAGCTATTTCATATTTATGGAGACATCCCAAGTAATGAAAAGTTGGGCTAAATTTTGTAAGAAAAATAAAAAGACCAAAACGTTTTCGAAGGGATGTCCCAACTCGTTGGTATTAACATATGAATTTTTAATAATTATGGAACTGGGAAATTTTTCTTTCTAGCCCTGCGGGCCGAAGGAAACATAACTTTAACTGAATTAAAGAGAAACTTACTTTCCTAAAAATTTAAACAAGATATGTTGAGCCTTCTAAGAAGTAATACTTATTTGCACAAACACCACGCATTTCACACATGTCATAAATATATCAATCTAGTCATCCGACTAGGTTATATGCTCCACCGCAAGCCAGGTCCACACAAATTGGGCATATTCACCAGCACTCCACAATTATTAACATCTTACATTAATCACAATCACGTTGGAAATTTAGTCAGTGGCCGTCCCGAACCCCTGATGAGCCTTTACTTCTCACCTGGCCCATCCTTCTCAAACGTGTGCAACCCAGGGAGCCAATCCCCCTACCGCCGACCGGTCTTATAAATCCTCACACGACTAGTCCTCTGCATTGTTTTTACATTCCTCTTTTCTTTTCCATACCAACAGGAGGCACCCGTGGTCTTCCATCCAATTCTAGATCATCAGGCGCTCCATAACAGCGAGGCCACCTTGCGCGGCTGCGATCTAGATCTAGGACTATCAGGTGCGCAACGACGAGAGGTCCATCCTTGGTTCTATAATCCATTGGTATCAGGTCCACACGGGGGCGCCGATCTCCCATTTTCCCCGGCTGACGGGTATTCCAATGTTCATTCATTCATAATCAGGATCCATGCTTATCGACCGTGGGGCGCCGATCTCCCATTTACCCGGCTAACGGTAATCATATAGGATCCATATAACGGTACGGTCTGACAGTCCCATGGTGACCCACTTCATCCCAATTTCACACAAACAAATCACAATATATGCACAGCACAATTAATCAAACAATTCTTTCTCAAATGCAATTAAATAATTAAATAAATAATATTAACAATAACGACAACGATAAAATAAATAACAACAACAACAACAATAATAATAATAATAATAATAATAATAATAATAATAATAATAATAATAATACACAATGATAATGATATGGTAGTTAAAGCACTTTAATTATTATGTATCGAATTGTAAAAATTATCTAAATAAGCTTATTTGTTATGTTATCAGTTAAAATTAGTCTAAGTTCTACCGAAATTTCGGCAGCACCTCCCCTAAAAATTGGACTATCTACCTGCTCAAATATCACAATATTATTATATCTTTATCAATTACACCACAGCCCATCCGTCGGGCAATCAATCAACTTTATTTCCCATACTCCTTTAAACATCAGTATTAACACCCAATATTCTCAAACCATAAGGTTTATAAATATAACGTACTTCCCAACTGTTTCCAACAATAACTCATATAAGACATATAAGATTATTTTGTTAAATCATAAGCTGACCAAATTAATAACTTTATGGTAATTAAATTGTTAAGTTGTTAAAACTCATTTTTAACAATAACTATTTATAACTACTATTTATTTAGATTCAATCATCTAATTATCTAACTAATTAATTCCGATTCATCCTTCACGTTTCGGTTTATGGCAATTATTCCAAAATGACTTATGCTCTAGATTTTCAACATTAAATGTATTTTGTTAGGTTGAATAGTGATTTTTAATTCCGTACTCAACCTAATATAATCACAATTTCTAACAAGTGAATCCTAAGTTTGAATTCTCCTAAAAATCCTCCAATTAAATTATCCTCCAATTAAATTCACAAGCTTCCAACCTAATATTTCAAAGTCCTTCGATTAAATATCTATTCGAAATTAACTAAATTAACCTATAAATTTAAATTTTAAATTTATAACAGAAATAGGAAAATAGAACTTAGGGCGTACCGATCGAAAATCGAGTGATGATTCCAGGATCCACGCAAGGAGAGGAAGATTCTGTCTCTTGATGCCTCGCCGAAGTGTCGTCGGACCGCCGCCGTCGCCGCCGTACACGGTGGCCGGAAAAAGCAAAACTGCCTAGAAATTTGCAACGATCATACCATTCATCTCAAAATTCACCGAGGATCCCATTTCTAGTGTTAGTTTAGTGAGATTGGTCCTCTAATTGGCCGGATCGGGCCCGACAGCCACTGCACCTCCTCCGCGCACGATTGCTCCTCAAATCTTTGGGAAAGTCTCAAATTTATGGAAGGAAAATGCTCTAGAGGTGATTAGGAGTTGATTGCAATCCTTCCCGTCGCCTGAGATCGACTGAACGGCAAGATTTCACCTGAGAATGAAAGAGCAAGGTGCGGTTTGCAAAAGCAGCCCAATCGCACCGCTAGAGCTCCGTTCGCGTGAGAGGAGGCTGGAAACGCAGTCAGCGGCACATGGTGCGTCGTCCGCCACCTCGTGCTCGTCTTGCGGTGGCCGGAAACGCGGTGCCAGGGGGAAAGAGGAGGCTGTCGCGCGTTGGAGGGAGAAGAAGAAGAAGGAGAAGAAAGAAAAAGAAAGAAAAGATGGTTCTAGAGAACTCTGGGCCATTTCGGTTTGATTCGAATCGGTTTGGTCCAAATCAATAGTTTGGCCCGACCTTGCTTGGTTTACGGGGTTCTCATCTAGTTTACAGAATCGGTTTGATTTATTTTTACTTATATTTATTTTTATTATTTTAATTTTTATTATTTTAATTAGATTCTATACATTTCTTTCAATTTACTTAATATTAATATTAATAATCATAATATTAGATTTTAAGATTAATTAATTCATGTAGTACCACACTCACATTTAACATTAATAGTTAGGCTTCATATCTAGTTAAACAAAATTTCAAAGGTTCTCAACGGTGGTAATTCGATTAATGTGTTTTGGGCTTTGAAGCCAACTCACCATTTTTAGGCCCAGGATTGAAATTTCGGAACTTACAACCCCATACCGGGTCACAATTTTCAAATTTTTTTTCTAAAGGTTCTCAACCCGGTAATTCCGATAATGTGTTTTGGGCTTGAGCCCAACTCACCATTTAGGCCCAGATTGAAATTGCTCGGAACTTACAACCCATACCGTCACAAATTCAAATTTTTGATTTATTAAAAATTTAAAAGTTTAGAAAATAAAAATTCAGGGTATTTCAATAATACATATATATATATATATAATGATTGCTTCACTTTTAGATAAATATAAATTAACCATAACAATTTTTTCAATTCATTTGATAATGTCTCTGCCAAAACTCAATCAATTATTGAACTTAAAGCAATTTGTAAACTAAATGTTGGTGGAAAATTTTTTCATATTAAATATGTATATCATGTTTTAAATTTATGTGTACAAGATGGTTCAAAAGTTCTTGAATCTTTTATTTCTCAAATTAGAAAAACTATCTCATATTTATGGAGACATCCCCAAGTGATGAAAAGTTGGGCTAAATTTAATAAGAAAAATAAAAGGACCAAAACATTTTCCAAGGGATGTCCCAACTCATTGAAATTCAATATATAAATTATTAAACAAGTCTTTTTCATATAGAGAATTATTGTGCATATTTATTACTAATAATATTTAATAAATTAATTTATAACCACAAAATTGGGAGATTTGTTCAAAAATTTTGGATATTTAAAAGTTTTTAATGATACTACATATAAATTTAGTGAGGTTTATTATCCTACATCTCATTTATTTTTGCCTATATGCATTAATATTATTAGTGCACTTTGAGAATTTGAAAATGATGTTTTATTAAAATATTGTGTCTTTTCAATGAAAGAGAAAAGGTTATCTTATTTTAAAAATATACCGCGCATTTTTCTTATTGCTTGTTTAAGAATTCAATACCTTTCAATATATACATATATTTATATATTATTTTTTATATTTTATTATTATGTATTATTAAGTATATTTATATAATTAAAATGTGGCTCAATGTTAGTTAAACTTTAAACTTGTGAAACTCTATCTTCACCTATTAAAAATCATATTAAAATTCAAAAATCTTATTTAAACTATATAAACCAATATAATTTAGTTTCACTTTATTCAATTTAATGGTTTGAAGTCAATCATAAGAAATCTCTATATCTAAAAAATATATATTTGCAATAATAATAATTACTATTTTTAATCAACAACTTAAAAGCCAATATGACTTTCTACACCGACATGTTCATTGGTTTGACTCGTTTCCACAGTGTTTCTCTTTTTCGACCTTTTCCTGCTGGGCCTAACTGAGGCCCAGCCATAAAATACCATGAAGACTCTTTGACGCAGTCAGGTCAACCTAATAAAATCATGTTGGTCGTTGGGTCATGAGCTACGCCTACAAAGCAAATCCTTCTATGACTTGGCCCGTCCAATTAAATCATCCTCCTCCTTACACATACTCTCATATATTTGGAAAAATTAATTATTTTAATAAATGTTAACTTTTTAAGTATTTTTTAACTATTAATTATATAAAACACTAAAAGTTAAATATTTCACGAACTAACATTTTATAAAAAGTTATAAAATGCTGACGTAAGTTGTAACAAACAAAAATGAATTAGTATTGTAAGTGATCCAGAATAAATATATATAAGTTAATCCTTATTATTCATTATATAACAGTTAACGTGATATTTAATTTATATAATTAACTAATATTATCATCTATAATTGAAATCATTTTTTGAAAAATAACTTACAGAGAATATTTTTTAAATAGGATACTGTAAATGTATATGGCATGAAAAAAAGGACGAGTGAGATATGATAGAGAGAGAAAAATTTATGTAGAAAATTTCTTTTATATGTATCACGCGTAAACGTTACATATAGGTACAAAATCATTATATGGGTAAACGAAATTAAGGAAAAAATTACAATTAGAAATCAACATGCATCAGTTAAAATTAAAAAATAAAATGAAACGATCTAATCTAGTTATTCAGATTGATTGGCTCACTTTAATTTCTGACCTTAAGTAACATTAATTTTTTTGTCCAATTATATAAAATAAACTAAATTTGTTCAAAAATCGAATCAAATTGACTGAACTGAATTGGTTCGACTTTATTTGATTCTATATATAGTTGGATTTCGGTTTTTTACTTTAAGTATTTAATAGGTAGAAAATGAAATATCTTCTCTAAAAAAAGCACTAAAGAAAAAGAAAATGAAGTAATTATGTTTTTCTAGTTTATTATGGAGTCTAACTATTAATTAATCACTCCAAAGAGTCAAATCAACAGTATCCTCTTCTTTCGTATCATTCCAGCTAAACCCCCTTTTCATGGCTGGTGGTGTTAGAATCAACCCTTCTGCCATACTATCAAGTAATGCCGGCATATTAAACAACTCTTCTTCATCCAGAAACATTTTATTATCATTATTATTATTATTATTATTATAACCTTCTTCAACACTAGCTTTCAACGAAGATGAAGAAGAAGCACATTGAACATCGCCACCACCACCATGAACACCTGCAGCTTCCAATGCGGCGCATTGAATATCCTTTATAGAGGTTGACCCAACTTGAGGCAACAAATGCGCTGTTTCAGGAAAGTTTAATGACGCCGTATTTCCCCGAAGTGCTTTAACAGCTACATCATAAGCTCTCGCTGCCATTTCAGGGTTTGGAAACGTTCCAAGCCATATCCGAGACTTAGTCTGTAGTTCTCTCAGTTCACTCACCCATTTCCCATTTTTTCGCCGGACGCCCTTGTACACAGGGTGGCGAGTCTCTCTAAACTTTTTGCGTTCAGCTTTTCGCTTTTGTACGCCTATTTGATGGGATGTTATTGAAGAAGAAGAAGAAGAATAAGAATAAGATGGTGATGATTGTGATGATGATGATGATGATGAGTCCTCCATTGATTGCTGGAAAGGTTCTTTGATGGTGAAATGGTGAAGAAGAGCTTTACTATGATTTTATATATTAATGAAGGTACAGTAAAGCATGTGGAATATTACTGTTAAAACAGGAATGTGGAATATGAAAAATGTGTTGAATTATTTTCCACGGGGGACCAGGCATTTGACAAAGCCCAACGTGGAGAGAAAAGATTATTTTTTCTTCCATTGTGGGCCCATTCTCTAATTTTAGTATTTACAACTGAAAAATATTTGTCGACATTGTTTCCTCATGTTTTTAAATCGAATCCGATATTAAATCGGTTTGATTCAGAGGTTATAATTAGGTGTGAGTACGATTTTTTTTTTTTAAAGACCCTATAATTTTTTGTTCTTTGAAAAAAGTTTTCAAATCGAAATATAAATTTTGTTTAAACTGAAAATTGAAGTATAAAATTGCAGTTTGAAAATGTTTCAAATCAAATTAAATTAAGCCATATAATTACTCAAATCAGACTAAACTAAACTACATTAAAACCGTTTAATGCAGTTCGATTTGCAATTTAGTGTCATAATAAATATTTTTACATCAATAAAAAATATAATGAAAGAATTATATATAAATTTCTTTTATTTTATAGTTGCATCCATTTAAAGTTTTTCATTAAATAATTAATTGAAAATATCTTTTAATTATTAAAATTTAATTTGTCATAAAATTAGTAAAAAAGATTAAATCTTCTTAGCTAAGAACGATAAATCAATGCAACGTTTTGACAATGTTTTAAGTAAATAGTTAAGTTTAATTTTAAAATGTTTCACTAACAAAAATCAAACTAAACAATTAAGAAAACAGTTCCTTAAACTTATGTTTATAAAATAAGGTTAGGCTACTCTAATCTCTATAATCAATCGCAGTACGTATGATGTAATAAAAATCGTTTCCGATGTAAAATTGCAATGACAGCAGGCCGCAGACATTGTTATTATTTTATTTCTGTGAGGGCTCACGTGATAAAGGGAAATAATGAGTCCGAATAAATCCAACCTCCATCGTACGGATACCACGTCAGCATTTTATATCACCGAAAAATATTCTGCTGTACGTGTCATTATTTTGAAGACTCCAAAATATATATTGACTTTTACTTTGGAGTTAAAAAATTTATGTTATCATTAAATAGGTTTTGATTTGCCTATTCATTGACCGTCCAAAAAATAGCGGTACTTTGCTAATAACAACTCAATCCGATGGTTTTATTTAAATATTTCCTTCCTTCGCTTGATTGCATATTCATTTTGAAAATTTCACTAATATTAAAGAAATCATATAAGATTATTAATAGAATTAATATATTATTAAAATGCCATTTTAGGAAAAATTATTTAATTTATTGAGTTGGCAAAAAAAGAAGTCGGGAAAGATAAAAAAATTAATTGCATTGACTCGTGACGAGTAAGATTGTATTTGAAAATAGTTATATAATGTTATTTTAATTTTATCAAAAGACGTTTAAATTGTAATTTTTTTTTAGCTAAAAGGACTATTAATATAGAATGAAGGGAGTAGTAAATACAATTTCTCATATGATTAAAATTTTTAAGTACGAAACGAACGGGAATGGTCTAAGCGAAAAGATTTCATGCCCCTTAGCCTAATTATAATATTATAAAAGTTTTTTACTGTAAAATTTATTGTTTAAATTCAATCTCTAATTAGCCTATATCTTTTTTTTTAAAAAAAAAAAAAACTGGAGAACATTTTTCAGATTTATTTATATTTGTGGCTAAAAATATTTTTCGAGAGCAAACTTATTATAATCCTATAACACATTTATTAATTTAGTAATCACCAATAGCCACCATCACCGGTCCTTGATGACCGGGCACTACTACCGATTGTCGATAGCTATCACAATTTATTATTTTTAATGCATTTTTTCATATTTAATAATAAATTTTTTATAATTATAAATATTTTTATAGTGTTATAAATTAAAAATTTTAATCTGTTAACTAATTTGTAATATTTGTAACTAAAATAATAATTTTTTTTTTCAAATGTAACTAGATAATAATTATTTGAAAGCATTTTCCACAGAAAATATTTTTCTTAAAAAGCATATTTTAAAACTAAATGTGATTATTTTTATAAATGAGTTGCGATAAATAGCTGGTGAATTTGCCATAATGCGGATGTGAAGGACGGTGGTGGGTTCTGAATTCTAGCAAATCAAGCATCACCAAGTCGGTCTTGTTTTTTTTCCTTCACGTGGTTCATCTTACTGGATTTCTATTTGTGTTTTTTCTACTAAAATATGGATGACTTGACTAGTATTGTCTCCTCCACTCCGTTTATGCATCATACTAATAAATAATTGAAATCTAAATTAATTATTACAGTGTGATTTTTTTTTCGATAAATAGTCAAAAAATACGCTCTTTTAAATTAAAAAAAACATTTATTTTATTGATTTGATGTTTAGAAAAGTTTACACGGTAAAATTAAGTCGTTCGCTGAAAATATCATATTTAATTAGCACTCTTGAAAAATTTAGGATTACACAGAGTTTATATTTGATTGCATTTTTATAATAATGCATACACTATTTCAATGAGGTCTTATAATTGAACACTTCTATTGTATTTTTAAATCGTAGTTAGGTTATATCAAAATTAAAATATTTATGATATGATCATAGATAAAGGGAGGAAGGAGTTATATTTGGTTTTCATGAAAAAAAAATAAATTAGTTTAATTAGAAAATTAAGCTCAATGTAAATTTTAAACTTTTGATTCTTTTAGTTGGTTCAATAATTTTTTCTAAAGAATAAAAAAATTAAACTGAATCGAAATAAAAAAGTCGAATCAAACCATATTAAAATTGAAATTATTTGTTAGTTTTAGCAGCTACAAATTGTGTACAGTATTATTATCTTATAGAGTTTATTGTATCAAATACATATAAATCTGAAATTAAAAAAAATTACAAAAAAGATGAGTAGTATACATACATGGTAGTAGGGCATTACAAGTCGGGTTCTTAAGAGGAATCGTTTGGTTCCTTCATTTTTGCGAACCAAAACTGAAGGACTAAAAAAATCAAAATGAATCAATTTTCGGTATAATTATTTAGTTTTTGAATTTTTCAAGTTTTAAGCGGTCTATCCTGGAATAATATAATTATTAAAAATATCAACAAATCATGATTAATATCAACAAGGGTAGACACTGTTATACGCAATCATGCATCTTTCCTTCGTGTGAAAATAGTCGCTTCAATGGTAGACAAGATTGTTATGTCTTGGACATCGAATCTTGCTTGCCCTTGTTTTTTTTGTTGAAAAGATATTGCTTGTTTATATACATGCACAATATTGGTGGAATATTACCATCATAAAGAACGACCTAGGACGAAGGAAGCCACCATATATAACACAAACAAGAAATAAAACGTGATAGAGATTGAAAATGAAAAATTCCACGAAAAGCCAAAAAGCAATTTGGATTAAATAATGGGTAAGTGTTGTTACTGACAGTGATTTTTCCCAAGTATATGAAATCATAGCAAGTGATATAAAGTAGAGTATCGTCTCTTCAGGGATTGTATATCAAGTACCAAAATTGTGTTAACCTATTATTATTTAAACGGTAATAAGAGAGCTTTATTGTAAGAAAAGTAGATTCTAAAAAAAAAACAGAAATAAATCAAGCAACAATATTCAGATGAAAAGAAATCAAAGTTTTTAAAACTATTAGGAATTTTGATTTCACTTAACTCTATCCAATTTATTTTATTATTTAACGGGTTAATAAGAAGCAGCTTTTGTAAGAAAGTTAGATTCCTAAAAAAAGAAACAACAGAAAATAAATCAGAGCAACTAATATTCAGATGAAAAAGAAATCAAGTTTTTATAAAACTATTGGAATTTGATTTCACTTAACTCTATCCAAGTTTATTACTATCCAATTTATTTTATTTAGTTTGTTATTCATTTTTAAATGTTTCAAGTAGGGGAACAACCCTTTGCACAATCAAACATGAATTAAATCATTAAGTTTTATGGTTTGTTTATGAATTCATAATCTAAGGTCGTTAACTTATGAAAACCCCCTATGAGTCAAATCATATAGCTTCCGCATCAAGTTATTATTCTCATTTAATTGATTACCTTTTTCACATCAAAAACCCTTCTCCCGATGGTAATAAATGAAATAAATCATTTATTCATCAAAAACCCTTCCGCATCAAGTTATTATTCTCATTTAATTAATTACCTTTTTCACATCAAAAACCCTTCTCCTGATGGTAATAAATGAAATAAATCAATCTAGAGGAGAAACTCTGTCTGGAAGTATTAAGTTCAATAATAAATTATACTTTGAATAAAAAAAAGCAAATCTAATATTATAAATTGAAATAGAAATTAAACTACCCTAGGTATTGAGGATTTAGTTCGCACATAGTAATTTAAATAAAACTCAATAATACTTTGAATTAAAACTTTTCATAATCAAATATTGAATATGAAAAGTAAAACAAGATTTTAAGAGTTTAGATAATAAAAACTAGGACAACAGACGTGGATGGCTTCCTTTGAAATCTTGGCACGAATCTTGAATGCTTGAAGTCTTTGAGGGAGAGAGAGAACTATGTAGAAAATAATAGAACAGAGGATAGCTCTACATGAATGGTTCCCTCTCTTTTATAGACCTCCTTGGAAGAAAATCCGACTCCCCGTTTAGGAAATAGAATCCTTATTAAGTACGAAATCTTTTTTGGAGATCACAAACTATTTAGGCTTGGCTTTCTTCTCAATTAGGACTCTTCCACCTTCCTAGATAGGTTTAGATCTTGATTTGCACGTCAAGAAAATATCTGAGGTGGGCCCATGTAAGTTATATAGACTGGCTGGCGTTTTTAATTCAAGACAGCATTAACTTTGTAGCACGGGAGTGCTCCATAGTAAGGCTTGAGCGTGCCAGAGTCTGAGTTCTATGAATGATTCAGCACGGGCCGTGCTCTGCAACACGT